GGGAAAAGTTTAATCAACTTATCTGGCTTGTAAGGCTGAACTAGGGACTCGGAGTACGTGCGTGGTGATCAGCACAATGGAGCGCAAAAATGGCGTCCAAGCCTGCTCGGATGCATGCTCGTTAAAACAAAACTTAAAACACCCTAAGCATCCGGAGGCAAGCTAGAGATTTATTTAGTTAATTTAATTTAAACTATTTATTTTAGCCCTAGTTATATTTTGGTGCCAGGAAGGTGCACTACAGGTTATCCCCCTCCTAGAAGGTTGTTGGGATACCGGCAACCTTCGATCCTAGGAGGCGACTGCGAGGCGGACACGCAACACCTTTCCATATTGGTGATGGAGTAGGTGACGTGTGGGTCTCCGAAGCTAGTGCAACTATGCACACCTACGAGGTAAGATAACTTTGCGTCTAGACGCAACCCTTCTCGCAGTGGTGGAAGGTGACCCAAAGCCTCCGTCTACTTTTCCCTATTGCTTCTTAATCTACCGGGGAGTGTACAGGGGGAAATTGGTACAAAGAGAACCGAAGAACGATCCAAGTAGCATCGTCAGCGGCCAATTGTATCCAATTTTCAACGCATTTTCTAGGTTCTGCAAGAAGAAAGAAATGGGACATTAGAGTGCTAAGAAAAGGAAAACCAAACAATTCGAAGTGGGAGTAGTACAGAAAAAAAAATAATAACCAACCAAAAAAAGTTTTCGGAATTTAAATTGTATTTTTGATTTTTCTTTTTTTTTTTGAAAAAAAAACTGTTTGCAAAGTAGTAAACATGACTTTTGAAAACTTTAGGTATGAAAACGCATTGAAAGTGTATGCCACGACAAAGTAGTTGAAACTCCGAATTCACCAAGTGTGAAGTTGCTCTGGGGCTAATTAACGAACTCGGCGTATCGCTTGGGCCAATGTACACGCCTCCCAGCACGTGTAGAGGTTACTGGATCAGTGTTACTAGACGTGGCTCTTTTAGAAGGTTCAGGATACGCGCGACTAAACGAGTCTGTTTGGGAGTCCGGCGGCAAGGGTCTGGGTGTGCCTGTGGAGGTGTCGCACAATATTGACACTTCACTGTTCAGGAGCGGTAACGCTGTATCTTCAGAGAGGATGAGTGTTGAAGTTTTTCCAATCTCCTCGTCTGAATCCTGAAGTTCGGCAATCTTCCGTAAGTCGACTGCTCGAGGCAAAGTAGTGGTGCAAACGCGAGACAGTGCGTCCGCGACAGGGTTATTCACACCAGAAATATGACGGATGTCCGACGTGAATTGCGAAATATAATCTAGGTGACGTAATTCACGCGGTGAATATCTGTCAGTAGTGGTGTGTAAGGCATACGTCAGAGGTTTATGGTCGGTAAAGATGATGAAGTCACGACCTTCCACAAAATGACGAAAATGTTTCACTGAGGCATATATGGCGAGCAGTTCCCTGCCGAAAGTGCTGTACCGCATTTCGCAGGTGGATAACTTCCGGAGAAGAATGCAACTGGGATCCAAGTGTGATCCGAAAGTTGTTGCAACACAGCTCCAATGGCCGTGTTAGAGGCGTCAACCGCAATGCTGAGAGGTAGGTTTACGTCTTGATGCACCAGCATCGTGGCGTCTGCTATTGCGGTTTTGATCTTGCGAAATGCTTCTAGTGCCTCCGGAGTCAAGCTGAAAGTTTTACATTTACTTTTCAGCAGGTCGGTCAGTGCAGTCAAAATGTGTGCACATTGGGGAATGAAGCGACGATAATAGCTCACCATACCCAGAAACACACGCAGAGCTTTAAGTGACGCTGGGACTGGGAAGTCTTGGATCGCCTGTACCTTTTCAGGTAGTGGGCGAATGCCTTGCTCGTCGATAACGTGTCCCAAAAATTTTAGTGAACGAACGCCAATTTGGCATTTGGCCAGGTTGACTGTCATCGAATGCTCTGACAGTCTGGCGAAAACCTGTTTCAAGTGGTTAATATGAGTGTCTTCGTCTGGACTAGCGATTAGTATATCGTCTAGGTAGGCATAGGCGAAATCGAGTCCACGTAAAACATCGTGAATAAAACGTTGGAAGGTTTGTGCTGCATTGCGAAGACCAAAAGGCATACGGAGGAACTCAAAAAGACCAAACGGTGTAATGACGGCTGTCTTGGGAACATCATCAGGATGAACCGGGATCTGATGATATGCACGCGTCAAGTCAAGCTTACTGAAGATAACCGAGCCTTTTAAAGATGCAGTCAAGTCGTGAATGTGAGGGACTGGGTAACGATCTGGAATCGTTTTAGCGTTGAGCCTTCGGTAGTCACCACAAGGCCTCCAGTCCATGCCATTGTTCTTGGGTACCACATGCAAGGGTGAAGACCATGGACTGTTGGATGGTCTGATTATTCCCATTTCAAGCATGTGTTCGAACTCGGCTTTTACAGCACGCAGTTTCTCCGGGGATAATCGCCGTGGTTTCGCAAATACTGGAGGGCCAGTCGTCGTTATGTGATGAGAAACGTTCGAAGTCACACAAGGGACACAACGACTTGGCTTAAAGACATCCGGAAAGGACTGAATGATAGACGCGTAGGGACTAGAAGCGTCCGTCGTGCAGTACACGGGACTGAGGGGCGGCGTCTTTGTGACTATACCGGAAACAGAGAGTGTTGTGGTAGAATCTATCAACTTATGCTTGCCAGCATCTACCAGCAGCTGATAGTGCTGCAAGAGATCCATACCAATAATGCCGGTGGTCACATCTGCCACTATGAAAACCCAACGAAAGGGACGACGCAATCCAAGGTTGAGATCGAGGAATCTCCGACCATAGGTTGTGATGGGCGAACCGTTGGCGGCACGAAGTTGCAGAGACATTGGCCGCAGACGCTCTTCCTTCGTAGGTGGGATGACGCTAGCTTCTGCCCCAGTGTCAACTAGGAAGCGTATCCCAGAATGTCGATCAGTGACGAAGAAGAGGCGACATGGAAGTGGCTCGCCAGCGACGTTAGTCGCCGTCACGTGCTGGCTCACACGTTTCCCGCCTGGTTAGCCTCGAAGGTGCAAGGTCGAGTGCACCTTTTGGCATTGGCACCATAACGTTTATGGTACCAGCACAACCTGGGTTGGGATTGTCGCGATTTGGAACGTCTGCTATCGGTACGGGAGGCAGACCTGTTGCGCGAGCGAGACGTGCGACCTTTGTAAGAACTACCAGACCGCATTTCGTTCCTGATGCTGCACAACTCTTCATACAATTTTGAGATGTGAGTTATAACATCGAAACTTGTTGGCTCAACAGCCGAGGGAGGGTTTTTGAACGAATCCGTGGCAGTAGACAGTGCAGCTGAGATACTAGTGTTGGGTTTCGTAGCATCCACAGCTCTGTCAGCCGCTTCCGCCAACTCTATTAAGGGACACTTATGGAAGGGTGCGAGGATCCCTTGAACCGACTGTGGTAACCTCTGTAACCACAGTTGCTTGAGAAATGCTTCATCAATGTTGAAGTCAGCAATCAGCTGCTTCATCTGACGAAGCAGTTGCGTCGGCTTGCGATCACCCAGATGCACATCCCTGAAAAGTTCTTGCACTTTCTGCTGGTCAGTAAGTGCAACACGTTTGATGAGGGCGGTTTTGAGGCGATCGTAAAGATTCGGTGCTGGGTCATCTAGCACATCTGACACGTCTTCAATCACATTTTCCGGTAAGCTGACGATGACTAAGTTGGACTTAGTTTCTTGTGATTGAATGTGTCTCAAGGCAAACTGAGCTTCCACATGGGAGAACCATGCAGATGGTCTGTGGGCCCAGAAGGTGGGAAGCTGGAGGGTTATGGCCATCTGCGCAGTCGAGTCGTTATCCGCCATTGATCAGGGAATTAACGAGGCACGATAGTGATAATAAAAAAATTACAATGCAAAAATAACCAATGAGGAGTGCAATAATATTAAAAAAAACGCTAGACGTGCCAAAAACAAAAATAAGCCAGACAAATCAACGCAAGAGAACAAAGGTACTAGACAAAATAAGAAGTGATACTCGGGCTCACCAATTTTTGTAGGGATGCGTGTTACAATTCCGTAACGTTTGATCAACCCTACTTAATTTGATGTGCTCTAGTACCTGCTTAACCAGTACTTTACCTAACGTGTAAGTACTGGTAACAAAACACAAATCAAAAGAACTGATACGCAATGTATTTAAAGGAGCTATGTATTTAAGGTAAATGTTATAATAATGAATGAGGGAAAAGTTTAATCAACTTATCTGGCTTGTAAGGCTGAACTAGGGACTCGGAGTACGTGCGTGGTGATCAGCACAATGGAGCGCAAAAATGGCGTCCAAGCCTGCTCGGATGCATGCTCGTTAAAACAAAACTTAAAACACCCTAAGCATCCGGAGGCAAGCTAGAGATTTATTTAGAAAAATTAATTTAAACTATTTATTTTAGCCCTAGTTATATTTTGGTGCCAGGAAGGTGCACTACAAGCCGTACAAATTTACCTATGTCTCGACTAAACGGGTGCAGTGTCGTTTACGAGCGACTCCACGTAATATGAAGGGGTGCCAAATGGTTTAGATGCCTGACCATGTAACTTCAGCTGAAGCAGCCCGTTGCAACTGCGTGGGTAATCAATTTTGAATCTCATTAATCCTCAGGGTATTGATTTTGGAGAACAGTTTGCCACTACAGTTCCTCAGTACACATAGTTGAAAATCAATGCAAAGCAGATCAAAGTTTGATGCCACAGGCTTTCAGATTTTCGACACTGATTGGAAAAGAATCTTTGCTCAGGTGTCTTACAGCAAAAGCCCAAAAAATAAAGCTCGACGCGACTTCATTTCATTTCGATAACCATACGTTTAGCCTAATTACTGTTAGAAAGCTATTTTACCGTTGTTTCCTTGGAAGCAAATTAGATGAAGAAAAGTTTTGTAGAACTCAAGGAACCGCCGTTCACTAATTCGACAACACGAAGTTTGAAGTTTGACGGTGCTATTTGAGAAGCGCATATTTTGGAACTGTCGGTACATCGGCACATGGTAAGCTTGAATTTTACAGCCCAGTTATACTCCATTTTTTCCTGAACCATGAATTACTCCATCTATTCATACTATCAGCTAGTGCAATGACCCATCTTTAGCAGCCGACTAAACTCTGAAATGTATGTTTCCGTTAAGACAAGCTACAAAGTCTGGTTTTTTCTGACATCACATTTTCTGGATACATGATTTCAACCAGTTCCTAGGAAGTCTTTCTCGACATTTCATGGTTCTGAGCACGCCATTTATAATGAACTGTACGGTTTACTTGTATTTTCTATCAAAAGTGCATAGTTTTAGGAATTACTTGTCGCTGCAGCTCACTCAATCTTGAATGCGTTCGTGAGGACCCTTCGACGATACCAGCCGAAATCTATTGGGTTTGCCTCTGGTAAAACTATCAAAATTGACCCGCTGCGAAAGTGACCCCCATTTTAGTCTGAGATTATTTTAATTTGTCGTTGAAAGAGGCAGATTAATCGAGTCGTAGGTCGATTGCAATCCATATGGTGTTTTGACGGTCCATCCAGGGCTCGTTTCACCCTTAACATAACTAAAAGATTTTAATACTACGAAATTTTCTAGGAAAGGAAATTTGGAAACATAAGTACCCTACGTGTAATACAAACGTCGACAGTGAGACTTTACACCTTATTTTGCATTCTTTTGTTTGAGAAATGTCCTACAATCGGCAGCAAAAAAAGTTACAATTATGATGGAAGGCAAAATTTTTTTGTGCGTATCTAGTGGAAATGATGCCACGATGAAAAACTATTTCCAGAAATATTACCCGTGTTTGTGCACGCAAACAATCAAGTGTGCAGATGGTTTGACCTGATTGCCTTTTTCTCTGAGTGAGTGGTTATTATATCTCTGCTGCTAGGCACACCCTCAATAATCTCAATAGTCGGGCCCTCTGTTGGTAGACTATTGCCATGGGAAACGTTGCTTACGATGGAATTACCTTCGGAGTAAGCTGGCCGATAGTGATAGCATCTTCACATCCGCTTCCCCTGATGTTTCGAGTAGTTCATCATATGGTGGTTCAGGTGGTCGACAAGCAGAATCGAGACAAGTGAAAAAAATGTTATTTTTTGCAAAATGGAGTGAATGCAGACACCAGTTGTTGAAAGTCGAACAGCAGTATGCCTAACTAAACGCATCGCGTTTATAAGCCTGTACTTGCCGTCAACAACACTTTTGAAGGGGAAACAGACTCACTTGGTAAGTGAATAGATGTTTCCCAAACCAGTTCTGCTTAAGTATATCCCTTTGCAGCCTTCAACGCTATCCGAACACTCGGTAGGACTAGAAGGAGTGCCTAGGTCCAATGATGCATTTTTGCCTCCGAAACGACAGACTTCACATGTCGATGGAAGCGTTCCACCATGTCGTATCGTTCGAAACCCAGTGCTACCAACAGTGCCTTTAAAACGTAAAATAATCCACACTCGAATTGGTGTATGTAGTCGGTTGTTATGGAAAACGAATATCCAATATTTGGACTCTATCTTCCGATGAAAACACGAGGGATATTTTCAAAGGGATATCTTTAATATATACTGATTCTGGGCATCTCTCAAAACGAATCATGCAGATGAAAAGATGGGTGTATCCATTAGATTCTGATAGGGATCCTACATTATCTATATGGATGCGATCGAAACGCGCATCTGGGGCTAGAAAAGAATCTTAAGAACTTTTCGTGTTCCATGTGATTGTACGCGTTTGACAGGTTACGCACGATTGAGCCCATCCTGTGACGTCTTGGTTTATCTCAGGCTAGCAGAAGCTTTGTACGATAAGCCTGGCGGTGGCCGGTACACCTGGGTGAGACAGTTTGTGCATTTTGGATTTTCCGGAACTACTGGGCGTATCTGACCGTCAGATGCATCACATAAAATTATATCTTTATGAGATGCCAAACGCAGTTGTAGCTTGAGTTGTAGATGACAATCCAAGGTTCAGTTTAGAATCTTGTTTCTAATAAAGGAGTCTAAATGAATAATACTCTTTTCGATATGTTCTCATCAGGTCCCACAATTATAAAGTGCAATCTCATAGCATGAAAACAGGCCGTTTGAGTAGAATACGTTTTCAAAGTTATGAAATCAAATTTTCTGTTCAAATTTGTCAATATAAAGATGACGTGTATACACATACAGAATGTGATGCCAAAAGAAAGAACTACAAATACGAAAGACAAAATTAACATTTTGTTCTTTGGAGGTCTAGGGAGGGATAATGCCTGGACATGTTCCTTCTGAATTCAAAGTACAGTTTTGGCCAATCTTTTTACCTCCGCTATATTGACCAGGGGTTGACGAGCTACACGTGGTATTGCTTTTCGTCCACAACGTATGACGTTAAGTGTCTTATTCTCACCTATGTGTTTACAAGGTGTGCTAGGACACAACTTTCCATCACCTTTTCCGAACCAAACCGGTAAGTGCTCTGGTATCTCGTGCTTGCCTACTCGTACGCCCTATGTAAATTGTTCTACAGGAATAGTTGAACTGACCATTTCAAGATGAAGAGCTAAGATTAAGTAGGCTATCCTTTAATCTCGAACTAACCATTGGCCGACTACTGGAAAAAGTGGACAGACGATCTGCACAAAAAGTTCCATTGACTGCTCTAGCTAAGCTCTATGATAGGATATCACTTGGAGCATCTTCCTTGAATTGTAGTCGCAGAAACAAAGGCTTCTTCCCCATTGTTAGGAATTGTCGCTTGGGACCACCATAAACCATATGTGCTTTGATGGACGTTTCAGTATATTCGTTTTCACTTAGAATATCATGGATACATAATAATCCTTTTTCAACACACTCCTTGGAACAAATCGGTCTTACTGTAAATGCTAGGCCCCCGATTACATTCCGTTCGTATTTAATCGGCACGAAGCTGAGCGTGTATTACGTGGTTTCCGATATATGCTTCTCAGTATACAGCCTTTTTTCTTGTAATTAGTACCTCAAGGGAATATATAGAATTATTGATTTCTCTATCATCGGTAAAGTGAACGGACAGATAAGCCGAGCCAATCCAATAAGATCTACACCTTCAGTAAGATTTGTCGAAGGTATTTCTGACAATGCGTCAACTAAGAGCCACTTGCTGCAGGTATGTTACGGATATCAGGAGTTAACTCTAAAATGTAGTCTAGTTATCACGATCACCTAGGGAACACTTACCTGATGCTGAGCCAAGAGAGGAGTGGCGGTTTGTGGCCCATGACTTTCAGCTGAATAACGAAAATGGCGCTTAGGACGGTACGTAACTCAGAGTTCCGTACCAAAAGTACTGTGCCGTGTTACTGCTTCCTGAAGCCACCTCAGGTAAAAGGTTGCTTATGTCACTGGTTGTCAGTCGGTTGCCAAGTCTGAAGTACCAACAGTAATACTTGAATGAGCGTTGGGATCATGACGCACGGGGATAGTTGCATCCGCGATGGCTCGCTTGATCTTAGATAAGGCAAATTTATCTAGCATTTGGAGTCACACACTTCATATTATCCGGAGAGGATCTTTCACTCCTCTCAGGTAAATTTGTGAACAAACCTTCAGTAATAACGTATCAGGCCGTTGAAAGTGCTAAGTCATCATCATCATTATCAACATAGGACCAGGCATTACTGCGTAACGGTCCGAGTTGCCACACCTCACGTCAGTTCATCAAGTAGAAAGGTAGTGAGGTGAAGGATGAAGATAAGTGAATGCAGTCAAAAGAAATATAAAGTACGAGAAGAAAGGAAAGAGGAGTGACAAAATGGTGAGATTCGGTATAGAGTTGTTAAGATGAGGATAATGTGTGTATACATCTGCGCCACTGACTTCGGTTCTGAGCCATATCAGCTAGGGTCTCCAACCACTAGTTTCTCTGGTCCCGCGGACCCCAACCACCTAATCTGCATCGCCCCACATGTCTCAGATCAACAAACACTTCATACATTGATGCAATGTTTTAGTCTGGCCGCCTCGAGCCATTTTTTAGCCTGAACCTACTTCGGCCAACATTGTGTGACGAGGCAATCGGTGACTAGGCATACGTAGTACGTGTCTCAACCATCTCAATCGATGAAGGTTTATAACCTGGTCTACTGATTTACCTCTGCTCCCCCCCAAAACTCTACACCTGACTTCTGCATTACTCACGTGGTGCGGTGACACCACGGAATACGTCCTATACTACGAAGGCAACGGTGGTCAAACACTTGAAGCCTTCTTATATCTTCCACTTTCAATGGCCATGTTTCACAGCCATACAGTAGAACAGAGGGGACTGCTGTGCAGTACATGCGACCCTTAATAGACAAACGGATGTCACGGCGGCGCCATAGGTGGCATAGATTGGCAAAAACCAATCGAGCCTTTTGTATCCGTGCAGAGATTTCATCGGCAACTGACCCACCAGGGCTGATCCTACTTCCCAGGTAAGTGAAGTGGTTAACACACTCAACCACTTCACTCTCTATTGTTAGCCGCGGTACAGCTGAAGACCAGTCCTGGAGCAAAAATTTGCATTTGAGTGGTGAAAATCGCATCCCAAACATTCTCAAATTGCCACTCGAAGTGTTCAGAAGACTCTGCATCTTGTCAGCGTCTTCACTTAACAGAAATATGTCATCTGCATATCCTAGGTCTAGCGAAAATTCTCCACCGATTAGGTCAACGTCTGTGTAATTAGGTGACGAGAGGGAAACCTCCATAAGAATATCTATGATAAAATTAAATAAGAATGGAGAGAGTGGGAATCCTTGACGGACACCACTTGATGAGTATAGCTCCCTGGACAACTCGCCATAGGCTCTAACATGCCCACAAGTGTTCGAGTAGAGAGCTTTCAATAAGGTGATGTACTTACTAGGCACGCCTTTCAGTAACAGACATTGCCATAAGACTTCCCGATCAACGGAGTCAAATGCTGCCTTCAGGTCGAGAAATACAGCTATTGTCGGGCTCCTGTAAGCATGCCTATGTTCCAGGACCTGGCGCAGC